GTGTATACAAATGAAAACAATGTTTTCCGAAACAAAACATTTATAATAATAATATTTTTCTTTAGCGTATAAAATCATTTCGAAATGAGAGGATGTGTGCAAATATTTCTTTTATGTATTGCATGTGTATAAGAGAATTAGACATTTGTAACTTGTAACATAAATGAATTCCAACATCATAAATGTACCAAACTGAGGATCTCTTTTTCAAAATTTCGCTTTATTCTTCCGATAAACACGCTTCTGATAAATGCACTTCCATTTCCTTTCGGCAGTCAGAAATAAGAACAAAATTGCTTGTGTGGGCTATCGATCTAATACTCGAGTATTCGATAAAATTTAATGTTCCAGTTTCTCTCAAGGAATTCAATTAACATAACAAATCGAGGCACGCCAAGCGCAATTACGTGAAATTTCAAATAATTGTTCTCCACTTCGATCAATTATTTACAATGGTGTAAACATTTGCGTATGTAAACATCGAGAACACGTATTATAAAGAAAATATAGTTTGTATAATATTTGGACATTGAGTAATTGAATGATGCTATGCAATGTGGAATCGGAAATATTGTATTGTGAAACATATTATTATCTTTATTTGTTAATGAAGCATAGAATATTCTCTTGCTATTAAAATTCAACAAAGTCCAATTTGTTATTAGTTTCGTTGTAATAAGAAATCAAATATATTTTATAACTTATAGCCAAGATTTGTTTTATAAATGACATATCAGAATAATCGTCGCTATATTACGGATATCATAATTTAATTTTACTCATAGATCAATTTTTGACTTTAAAAATATTTAACCTATCACTATCAGCGTAGGAATTCCGTTAAATTTCTAAGTAATTAGAACTGAGAACTCATAGCTATTTTATAGTTTAATTACTGGCTATCAATCAACTAATGATAGCGCCCCGAGTACCTATAGTTAATACGTTCATAAATCAACTCACTACACTTGCTTTAGCAGCCATTGTAAATTACATACACTGAATCATGTCACAAGCCTATTGCATTGCATTGTTTAATACATCGCCAGGATTTCGGATAATTGCAACGTTCTTGTATAGCGAATTTGACAATTATATTTATATATCTAGAAATCTTTTCTTTGTCATCCATTGTGTGTTTCGGAAAATACTATTAATTTTTACACAACAGAGCTTTAAATACTTTAAATAAAGCTCGTTAAAACGAAATCTGCTTAAAATTAATCGAAAAACAAAAATCTGTTTATGTTATGAAACATTTAAGATTTGCAATAATATAGTTTTTGATATTAAATAACTTTAATATTTTAATAATTTCTTTTTGTCTTATATAATAGCTTCCTTTGTTTAGTAAAATGTTTATTAAAAAAACATTTTATAATCGATC